CCTACCGCGGGAATTCAGCAAGTACGTAACATCACAGATGTTGAGTCCCGAGGTAAGTAACTCGTACGAGTTGCTGAAAGCATCCCTCCTCAGGAGAAACGTTCTCACGGACCGACAACGTCTAGATGAATTATTTCGTAACATCGAGTTAGGAGATCAGTCAGCCGTGAGCATGCTGACAAGAATGAAAGAAGTCGTCGGCCAAAGTCAGTTCGACGAAGGACTGTTTAGAGAACTCTTCTTAACCAAGTTGCCACAGTCTGTACAGACCGTACTTGTGACACTTCAGGGTACTGTAATAGAGGACTTAGCTATTACTGCAGATAGGATTCTAGAGATTACTAAACGGTCTGTTCCCGAAATATGCTCGATGACTAAGCAGACTTCGAGTAAGGATCCTGCAATGATAGAGTTATGCAACTCCCTTCAGCAGATGTTTAGGTCAAACATGCATTCTAAATCCTCCGACCGTCGTCCTAAATCTCCTCAACGCAGGAACTCACGTGGTCGATCTAAGTCCAAACCACGTTCACTGAAAAACCCTGACTGGTGCTGGTACCACAACACCTATGGCCAAGAAGCGAAGTGTTGCCGTAAGCCTTGTAACTTCGGAAATGTCTCAAAGTCTGTGGGAAACTATCCCGCCGGCACGCGTTAGCGGCAACCGTCGCCGGTGGCACTAGCCGCCTACTTTACATCCATGATGTGATAAGCCAGACTCGATACTTAGTCGACACAGGCGCCGAAGTCAGCGTCCTTCCTGCTACAGCAGCAGATCGACAGAAGGAACCTACCTTCAACTTACAGGCTGCAAATGGAAAACCAATCGCAACCTTTGGTAGGAAATACGTCTATCTGAACGTAGGTTTACGCAAACCTATTCGGTGGATTTTCCTTCTCGCTGACGTTACAATGCCCATCATTGGCACGGACCTACTTAATCATCATGATTTACTCGTAGACGTCCGCCGAAAACGACTGATTGACAATACTACTAGTCTGTCTATCAAAGGCATCAGCTACATAGGCCCTAGTTTGTCACCCGTTAAGATAAAGGCAATCCTTGATCCAACTTTTCAACCTATTGTTGACAAGTATCCGGAACTTAATTGCCCGTCGAACGACCTACCGTGCATAACCAGCAATGTTATGCACCACATCATTACCACAGGACAACCTGTGACATCTAAAGCACGACGATTAGCTCCTGACAAACTGAGAATCGCCAGGAATGAATTTGACCATATGCTTAGCCTTGGCATCATTCGACCTTCGAATAGCCCATGGGCATCCCCACTTCATATGGTTCCGAAAAAGGATAGCAATGATTGGCGACCCACCGGTGATTACCGGCGAGTGAATGCCAAAACAACCCCTGATTGCTACCCGTTGCCTCATATACACGACTTGACGGCAACCTTATCCGGCGCGACTATATTCTCCAAAATCGACTTGGTTAAAGCGTATAACCAAATCCCGATGGCAACAGAAGACATCCCGAAAACGGCTATCATTACGCCTTTCGGACTTTTTGAATTTCTACGTATGCCATTCGGTCTCGGAATGCAGCCCAAACATTCCAACGCTTCATTGACGAAGTATTTCGCGGTCTCGACTTTGTATACGCATACTTAGACGACTGCCTCATTGCCAGTCCAGACAAGGAAACTCACCTTAGGCACTTGGACTTGGCATTTGACAGGTTACGCCAACATGGTGTTACCATTAATATTCAAAAATGTCAAATCGGTGTTGACTCACTCGACTTCCTGGGTCACACTATTGACTGCAAGGGCATTCGCCCACTGGCTACTAAGGTTGAGCCTCCTAAGAAAAACCGTTCTGGACGCACCGTAAGGTTCCCAGAATATCTGCACACTTATTTGACTTAACGAAGTCGTGTGATTCACGCAACTCACTCGTTTGTGGTACTAACTATTTTTTTTGACGTATAATTTTTTTTATATACAGTACCACCGAACACAAAAAATTTTTTTTCAACAGTTCATGTAACATACACAAAAAAAATTAATTAGATGTATTTTTTTTCGATGTTCTGAACTTAGCATTATTTTACTGTATAGTAAATGCACACAATTTTTTTAACCAAAAAGCTCATTTCGTACATTTTCCTCGACATGGTTCTTAGCGTTCTTGTTTTCTTTTCCAGGTGCGACGGGCACTGGACAGGAAACAAACGAAGCACGGAATCCAACGAACAACAACAAGGAAGCTATGTACAAACACCCTATTAGCATAGGCAGACAAACCAGTAGGCATACGACCAAGCCGCTCGGAAGATTTTTTTCACCCGAAAGGGAACCATCGATTTTTTTTACTTCCGGCTGGTTCTGTCTTAGGGTCCTCACGACCCCACTAGGGGGGAGTGAGCTGTAGCGGTAAATAATTCCCCAAAATTATTGACCACAGCAATCACTCATTGGATGCTGACCACCACTGTTTAAGTCGACTTGTTTAGCTGAAGGCTTCCGGTCAAGCATCCCCGCCATTTGGTACCTCGTCGTGTAACGTGCACGATCACTAGCTAGCTAAGCGTTCGTCTAAAGGCTTGTTTTGGTTCCTAAATATATCTCTTGGTTTGGACGATCAAATATTGGCTTTTGCTTTGTCTTTGGTACGCGAGAATAAATTAATTAGAAGTTGATGAACGAGATATCCGTCAACCTTTAAACAAGTATATTTTCATAAAGCTATGTAGTACTAATTGATTGGGGTTAGTAGTAGTTGCATACCACGGTGTTTAGAGCACCTTAATCTGGCTAGCCCCTAAGCACTACTGGCTGATGTGAGTAGTACGCAACTACTCATTTCAGTTAATCAGTAGTATATAGTATTATGTGAGATCTTACGATAATAATAACTACTAATTGCCCAAGCTGAATTACACGAAACAGGATTCGAACCCTGGACCAGATGACTGAAAATTGATTGTTTAAGTATTTATCAGCCATATGACCACATAATTCAGCCAAGGAATTAATAATTTTCAAAAGAGATACAAGGCCGCATGCATGTGTCATAACCACACGTACACAGGCGCACGACATTTTATTCGGATGCAAGTCAATGAGAGAGAGAGAGAGAGGCAACTTGATGATGAAAACACTAGTGGAGATGAAGCTGCTAGGCTTTCGAACCCAAAGAGGTTCTGAGTTCCAGTCCTCCTGCACCTGCGTAAGCCTGAGCAACTAGTATTAGTAGTATCATCAGCTTATACAGAATTTTATCCAGTTAACTGAGCTCTAAGCAGCTCAGTACCATAAAGGTTATAAAAAAAACAATTGAACTAAGAGGAGAGGGGACACATTGGACAAAAAGACACACACAATAAATCAGCTTACGTCAATATGGACTGTGTGACTAAATACACACCATTACAATCCACTTTAAGCTATGCATCACATGGATAAACTAAAACATTTAGACGTTCAGATGGTAAGAGAATAATAATAGTTATTATAACAATAATATCTTTGTTCTCATCAAACTTCGAGACAAAAAACAAACAAAACATCCTAGCGATACGTCACAGAGACAAGCTAAGTGCAACATGAGTCAGCAAAAAGAGTCATATATGTCAAACTGAGTAAAGCAAAGCAAAAAGAACACAAATAAAACCAATAATTTATATTGATATGAGTCATCAGAGTATAGAGTAGATGAAAATTTAAGACGGACATTCAAATAAATGCAGCATCGGAAACAAATAAAAAATCCTGTAACATATAAAAGTATTGATTTTTGTAGGGATTTCGATTGAGCTGACATTGGTTAGAGAACCATTGGAAAACCTACAGGGAGTACTGGAAAGCCGTTTCGTCACACTGGTTTGAGATTCACCTGCAGTACGCTCGCGCCAAGTGAGGGTTCGAACCTAGGACTTTCTGGTTACAAGGTAAGCTAGCTTGTAGACCATTAAGCTACTTGGACCCGATCCAATGGCCAGCCCATGAATTCTAACTTCTGCCAATTCACGACATAGCATGACTACTTCGCAATGTCTTCTCCGATTAGTTACTGCTTCACTTTCAACTTGCTGCACTCCCAGGTTTCCCAGTGGTTCTCGAAATGATGTCAGCTCATGATGAAATCCTCCAACCAACAAATGAAAGTATTCAGCTTTGATAACGAAAAATGTCTACAGGATTTCATCATGAGCTGACATCAGTTAGAGAACCATTGGAAAACCGGTACTCGAGTACGAACCCTACTCCACTAGCGTTTAAACCCAGAAACCTCCAGTTACAAGGAAAGCTCGTGAATCATTAAGCACTGTGACCCTAGTTAATGACCCATGAGTTCTAACTTCTACCAATTCTTCATTTTAGCGCAACCACTAGATAGTGTCATCATTGACGATTATTTGTCGTCGCTCACGACTTCCCACAGGAACCCAGGCAACCACCTACCTGTAAAATGGCCAGTCACTAGTGAGCATCAGTTTGATTGAAGACTGGTTTCCCCAGACATAAAATACACACTGATGGCGATGAAACATTTAGAAGTCAAGAAATTAGGCAGCAACCAGTGTAATACGCCCAGTCCTTAGTGTTGGTATTGACTGAATTCTATGAGCAAAGTTTGGAATATGGGCACTAAACTTAGAGTGACTCATCATCGTGGTGCACTATAAAATCAATGTTAGGCAGTAAGAGGCAGTCGGCAGAATACCGGAAAAGACTCGTTTTCGCTCGCTTATTCGCCGCAACCTCCAAGGAACTGATATCTCTTCAGAGCTATATGGATTGAATGGTAAAACCTCTAATCCCTAGAAAGGTGTTACTCCCTTCTGGAATCCATATAAGTCTTGTTGACAACGGTTAATAAGTACAACACACCTAGGCTCACAGCTTCCAGCTAATTCAATTGCATAGTCCATTTGTTAATCACACACAATAAAAGTAAATACGATATTCGATTTCAAGATTGACATAATGAGTGAAAACGCACAAACACACACAGACACACGTGAAACTAACCTCAATTTCAGCACTTTTTTCACGTTCAACAAATTTTGACTTTTCTAAAGCTAATTCAAGTTTACGATTTCTGTCCAGTAGAGCTTTGCCCAATTCAGCAGCCAACACCAAATCTATAATGTCGTCAACATAAATAAATCACATAAAAAATATATTTTACTATATATATATATATATAAAGGTTTACGAGGCTGTCTCACCATCAATTAAAAACCTTCTCCCCTTATGTTGAATTCCAGATCGACAAGAAAAGACTTACCTGGGGCGGTTCGTGTGTTGTGGATGTTAAACAGCCAGCAGCATATCATCCGTTTAAATGACAGCCGGGCATCATTACCCGTGTCCCAGCTAGTACAACACCATACTAATGATTCCGAAGCAACTGACTTGATAGATTCTGCTTTGGCTGTGATTCTCATTCTACCACCAATCATCACTCATCACATTAACAGCAGTCTGTCCACCCAAGACTATTTACCATCAATTCGCTTATTCGTATAATAAAAAAATTTCCATCATAACAAGGTTAAGCTAAATAAAAGTCACTTCTTTTAGAATAATAATAGTGACTATCAGAGAAGAAAACACCGAATTTAGAACAAAGACTTAATGCAAACTTATTATTATTAATATTATTCCTTGGGTTCTGAGTGGAAGATACAGCTGCAACGGAACATCTCCATTTTATCCTATTCTCTGCAATACTCTTCAGCTGACTACACGATTTCCCATAGTCTGTCATCTCCTCCTCTCAAGATCTCCTTCACGTTACCCTCGAACCTTAGGCCCACTTTTCTTTCCTATTTGGGCTCCACTCGACCGATGGCCTTGAGTGCGATGTCACCTTACGGTCTCCTCAGTGTGTATCCACCAAACCATTTCCGTTTTCTTCTACATACTTGTTGAGCAACAGTTTCTTGGTTGGTTCGTTCACTGCTAGAGTTTATTGTTGCTAAGTGTTTCTGGCCAGTCATTTGATCTTTAATATGAAGCAAAGGTAGCAATCTAAACTAATCGAATCTAATTTAAACTGTGCAATCGATGATTAGATTGCAGTAGGCTTTCAGTCATACACAAAGGGCCCTGTCTATGCACGCATGTGAAAGCGTAGGTTGATATACTTTTTCAAAAAACTAATCTAAGTGATGTAAGCCTGAAATCCAACAATCCACTGGTTACTAGGCTAACGTTTAAATGATCGGCTCACAACAGGACTTACAATCACTGTCCACATCATATTTATACTACGGGGCTACAGTGTCAGTAATTAACAGGTGATACTATATTTCAAGTTTGATCACGAATTGACCTCATTTAGAGGAACACTCGAAACCAGGAATTACTGAGCATATGTCGCGTCCTTGTTTGGGACTCTTCAGAGATACGCACCGGTGGCCCCACTAGGGATCGAACCTAGTACCTACGGCAACTGGTACGTAAGTATTATTATTACTATTGTTTTTTGATAGGAAGCAGCTGAAATTGGAATCAACATTTGAAGCGACTACCTACTAATTTAGGAGATTTAATGTTTCAAATCCATATTTGTGTCGTTACATGCATATAATAATGTTATGGAACAATCTTCGGTCTCACGCACTCCATGAGATTAAATTGCTTCATTAGGAACCTAACACGAATTTATACACATATATATGGTGTATTTTTGTCATACAAAGTCGTCCTTACAGTTCCAGATCAGTCGTTGTCTTCTGGCATTTCCGTGGCTTAGTGAAGCAGAAAGTGAAAGACTTTAGTGTTAGCGACATGTACAGAAAATAGACACCTAAAGTAGAAAGGGTATCATTGTTGCGTGACCGAAGGGCCCTGAAGAAATCTGCTTGAAGCGGTTACACGATCTGTTCGGGAGGGGGGGCTACGGATCACTTTAAGGTAAATAGGGATGAACAATTTCTCGGGTAGACCATTACTAACACCCCGTCCCCTAAAGCAGCGAAGCAGCATAGCAGCTGTCTGGCTGGTTGTTCATGGAAAACACCTTACTGCCAATAACACTCTTGTTCGTCAGCTATAAAACATAACATAACATTGTGCAGACGACTTACACTATAATGAGAGCCACTTTTACTCTAACCGCTATCCAGACGATCTTCGTAGTATGGTAAGAATTACAGGAACATTGATTTTAGTCGATACGTATATCACTGGGTCATTAAGATAAGCCTGACTGCCATGTCAATGTAGCAGCCATCAATCGGGCTAAAGACATACAGATATTCGACTGTAAGTGGGCGAAAATGGACTCAATTTAACATAGTTGCCCAGTGAAATAAACCCTACCATAATTTATATCTCTTCAGAGATACTCATCTCCTTTATTCTCCACTGGCAGTTCCGTCAGCTACACTCTTCTCTCTCTCTGATTAGCGTGACAACCAGTTTTAAATACTGTGATATCTTTTATCAAATTCAGAAACTTCATACATTATGCCTTCTCGTCATATACAACAATCAGAAGCATCCAGTTCTTCACCTAATGAACTTAAAACTTGTCCAATATACTGCCATAGGCTAAATATTACGGAAAATGCTAGCGAAATTTTTAATGTATCGTTATGAAAGGTCAATAAAAGGTTAAACAGCAGAATGATAAGTGAAAGGTCAAATTATGTGCCTGAATAGTATCAAGGTACCAGAATAATGTCACATACTAGTCAAATATTTTCAAGAGTGTGCTCTGCTCTGATCACTACTCACTAACACGGATTTTATTTCGAAGCTTTATTATTATTATTATTATGCGCTTAATTAGACTGGTAGTTATTATCTTCCACAGACGGAATTTACAAACACAGTATTCAGTACTCACTACAAGTTGACAGCACTTTAATTATAAAATGAAATTGCTAACAAACCTTTTGGTGAGAAATCTTGAAAACAAAAACGTTTTTGTTACAGGATTTCATCATGAGCTGGCATTGGTTAGAGGACCATTGGAAAACCTACAGGGAGTATTGGACAGCTGTTTCGTCCACTGTCAGCTCATGATGAAATCCTGTAACCAATCAACCAAATCCCTACAAACCAACACTTGAATATCGATGACATGCTCACTGGCGACTTGCCCTATTCAGGTAGGTAGTTACCTGGGGTTCTAGTGAGAAGTCATGACCAGAAGGGCGCAGCAGGTCGGGTGTGAAGACAAATACTCGCCGAAGACATTAGCCAGCGGTGGCGCTATGTGGACAGTTGGCAGAAGTTAGAATTCATGCGCTGACCATTGGATCAGGTTCAAGTGGCTTATTGGTCTACGAGCTCGCTAGCCTTGTAACCAGACATGGTCCTGGGTTCGAACCCTGTCGGTGGGCGCGTACTTCCGAAGAGTCCCTGACTAGGACGAAACAGCTGTCCAGTACTGCCAGTTGGTATTCCAATGGTTCTCTAACCAATGTCAGCTCATGATAAAATCCTGTAAAAAAAAATCAATCAAATACCTAGAAACTAAAACTTGAAAAAAGTTTTTTAATGTCAAAAATATTTCGAGTTATTAAAACAACTGAACATACCATTATCATGCCAATAACCCTCATCAATTAAAGAGCACTGATCATCCGTTGACGACAGAACAGGCGATGAAGATGATTCGTAGACATCATTCTGATATCGGCTCACAGACATTGGGTGTTAGATTTAATGATAACTGTATAAATCTCCTCCGTTTTATTTTCCTTACTACAAATTAACAAATAGAAAAAGAAAATAATTACTCAAATTGTGAATACATAAGCAGTACAAATATCTAGTACTCATCGATATGCATCAGACAGTGGGAAACGAGAAGACAGGGATATCCTGGACCGACCAACGTGAAGAACCTAGAAGACCTGGATTATGCGCGTGGATCATTTATGTTTGATGTCACACACAATCGAAAACTTACAAGCGAAAACCGACAAACTCGTTGAAGAGGCAGCCGGCGAAGACAGGACTCCAGGTGAACATAAACAAGACGGAGGTTATGAAAATAACCATCCAACAACAACAACAGCAACATCCAGCGCCAATCACCATCAACGGGAGGGATTTGAAAGAGGTAACCTCATTCATTCGATTATCTAGGGAGCATTGTTTCAACTACAGGAGGAACGAACGAGGATGTCAAATCGAGCGAGAATCGGGAAGGCAAGAAATACATTTATCAACTTGAAACCAATCTGGAAATCCTCGTCAGTCAGCATCAACAACAAAATTCAGTCGGATTTTCAATACAAACGTCAAGTCAGTCAGCTCTCCTATACGGATCAGAAACTTGGCAGGCGGGTCACAAAGAATATTTCCAACAGCCTGTTGCATACCTTTTTCAACAACTGCACTGTCTTCTCTCTATTCTGAAGATTATACGGCCGGGCCGGAAAGAATCACCAACAAGAAACTATGGGCACTAAAAAACAAAACAAGAACCAATCGCCCAACAAATATGTAGGAGAAAGTAGAGGTGGATTGGAAACTCGCTGAGGAAGCCGCTGGGTGACATCGCGTGTCAGGTCATTGCTCGAGTGGAACCCAAAACGGAAGCGGCGAGTGGGACGTCAGTGGAAGAGTGACACGGAGGAGATCGTGTGAAGAGGAGTTGAAACAGTATGGACTAACTAACATGGATGCAGGTGAAAAGTACAGCAGAAGACAGAAGCAAGTGGAGACATGCAGTTGAAGCCCTATGTTCCACTAAGAACCCGAGGAAACAATAATAATAATAATATCTAGCTAGCTAAGGCATGATACTCTCCACTTATTAACATGATTAGTTGGTGTCTCCCTACATCAATCATCCAGTAAAAGATCATACGTCTGAACTAACTGTTTTTCTAATGACTTGCAAAACAACAATTATCTAGTGATAAACTTCTTCAAATGCCAAGCTAAAAGCCTTACTACTTGTTTGATAGCTAACAGTATCACCTAATGGTCACGTAGGCTAAAGTAAGTGAAGCAGGACTTCGACTTGAAATCCACTGACCAAGGGCCAAAGACCCAGATTAATTGCGCACAAAATAACTCAATTCAGAAAACCGAAACTTGAACTTACTAAAATCTTTGAGTTAATCAATATTAACAGACTTATAATGTAAAGAACAAAGTTTCATATTACCTCAGTCTGTAGATTTTCATAATATCAAGTGATTTTTGTTTGTCTTACCTAGATCTTAACAGGTAATTGAAAGTGCTTGACTAGGTCATAGTTGCCGTTTTCTATTAACTTTGATAGATAACGTGATAAATGACACGTACAAAATATCGTAGTAAAGCCGTTAAGGTAGTGACCAAGAAATGTGAAACAAAGAGTAAGACATAGTGTATATTTGGTATTGCTGTTTTCTGTAACCTAGACGATTTAATTGCCCAGCTTTTATTGTCCTTACAGACAAAAAACGATGACGAGAACAGTACAGGTGAACACTGTCATAGAAAAAATTCCTCAGACAACTAATCACATTCAAAGTCATCATAAAAACTGGTTATTTCACTCACGGATCCTCCTAAGGCTCACTTCACTCTGTGGTTATCACTGAAAATCTTTTCTGGAAGGATGATGAAAGCTCACAGAACGTAAAGATGCAAAAATATCGATCCTAGCTACAAATCTGCACCATTAATTCATAATACATTATTTAGTGAAGCGACGAGAAATATCAAATTTTGAATGCAAACGAGAAATACGAATGAGCTTCATCCTGATTTGAATATGTAAGAAATATCAACGTTTGTCTTCTGCAAATGCAGAAAAGACAATCATTTCCAGAGTTCATAACTACCGGAAATGAGATTTTACTTTGGAAAACTGAATGGTAACCCTAACACTGCTACAAAGTTGCAAAATTAAATAAAGATCATTGAGTATTCTTCATTTACCACAAATAAAACTGTCGAGTGACTTAGATACGCGCAAACTATTCGGCCAAAAGAATAGATGTACCGAACAAAACAATATAATTATTTAAATGTGAGTACCGTAATGTAAGGGAAAATCTTGATCTCTGGCAATATAATTTAAATAATATGTGTTTAGTTGATAAACCACAATGACATAGTGTTAATTATCGAGGGGTATAGTAACTGCAACTGGCCAAATGTTGACGGATAAAAGACAATTAGAAGTTGTTACATCCTGATTGATAGTGGATTCAAATTAGTCGGAAAACAGATGAAATCCTTTAAAAAAAATATGGGAAACAGTGACGTCATTGATATGTTACCACAGATATAGCTCGGTAAGATATCTATTTCTGTCAAACAGTCCAGCATACCATAGTACAAACAACACCATTGTCCTAGCTTAAACCATACGCACAAACCGACAACTAAACAGTCAATGGTGCATTATATTCATCAACACCTTAAGTATGTACAGTTATTGGAGCATCCCTACTGTATGGATATCTAGTAAAAGCGTTAAGTATGTTCAGCACCAAAACGTCATCAGCAGAAAATCGGCTGGATTGTACAAACTCCTTAAATAGACATGAAATAAGCCGTGAACTACTCCACCTACTACTGGCAGAAAACAGCAATGCTTATCAATGTTTGTATGTTATCTAACCAGTTCATTTCTCTGGCATTTTCTAAGCAATACAGCGCAAAACCTACGTGTCATGAAAATAAAATCCCGACCATATGATCACCAATTATGTAAGGTGGATCTACATACTTGCTACCACAAAGCGAGAGGTAGTCTTCTCATGACAAGTGAAATAGTGCACAATCCAATGCCACCGACGCTATATACATTACCGCAATGACATCATGACAACCATCGGGGTATCCCTAAGAAAAGTGCCCACCAGAGAACAGCAACAAAATAGCATAATTCTCTTCCCCTTTGGTTTGCCGTCTATAGACATCGCTGCCTGCTGACGTGGCAACCCCACAACATAAGTCAGTAACTTCAAGAAAATGACAGATGATAACGCAAAAATAATGAGTGACGTAGGCAAGTTCAAGTATTACAAACATCCCTCTCGTTCTTATGCACTTCACTTCTTTATTCCTATTATTTATGACTTCTATTCAAACTATTCTTGTTCTTTCCTTCTCTTCTTTTTTATCTGGTAAGAATGTGCTTCCACTATGTTACCTATCTTATAACCAATCATCTTACCATTCCCTTCGTTTATTCAGTCTACTTATTCTCCAGATTCCTTTCCAACTAGCTTGGTACGACTTCATCGGAAACGTTTGTCAACGTAACTGGAGGATGGCACAACTAAAAGTAATGTGTGAGTTCCAGCAGCACCGCTACAAAGCTGCAGTATGCAGAAAGATAGACTGTATTGGAATCCGTCAAAAAACTATATCTGTTGCGTAACAACAAGAAGCAGCTACCAAGAAATCATAAGGTCTATAGAAGCTCGTCAAAATGACATTGGCCAATTTCTTCACTAGGTAATACTTTTTGTATGAGCCACGGTAAAGGAGTTTATTTCTTCACACACGTGTTGTGGTAGAAATAGACAGCTCTGGAACTTCTAATGAATTTCTGCTTGTTAACTGTCATCACTCATCTGCTATAGTTCTGAGACACTGTAATGAGTGGATCCATTGGGATCGCAGTTCACTCTTTCGTTTAGTTTGGTCAAGGGAAATAAATGAATGGAAAGTACTGCGAAGCATGTTGGAGGAAAGGAAAAGCGAATGATAACACTGATGATTGGAATAAATATATGAAAACACAACCCACGAAAATTTTAAAAACAGAAATGGAAGTAAAGCAAACACATGCACAGATTTCCAACAAAAGAACGAGGGACAGATCGAACCGTACGTATCAGCAGAAATAAGGAGAAGAAGCAAGACCAAACCACAGTCGGAAAGCTTTTCCATGAAAATGGATAAAGTAGGTAAAAATATTGGTAAAATCAGGAAAAAAAGGGTATTGGAAATTTTAGCAGAGGTAGGGAAAAAGTGGGTATAATGTTGCGCTCCACTCGCTTTTTGCAACGTCTCAATCGACCGAAATTGCCTTTATTGCCTAGGTTTTTCCTCCTTTACCCAAGTGCTTTCTTCAACTTCGGACGACACCATTAGTTGGTTTGTTGTCCAATGATTAACGATAGCCTTACCTTATACTGAACATGAGTGGCAAACCCTAATTTAGAAACACTTACACTGATTTGGGGACGACTTGTACTGTCTGTTTATGAAGCAATGGCCATATCTAACACTAGTGTTGGTAAGACTACAGTGTAACCTCCAGATGCTCCTGAACAACCAAAGCATTATTTGGGCAGAGAATACTATGTAGGATAAATAAAGCAAGAAAAATAACTATGCAGCATGACAACCTCTTTTATGTTCAAGAAGTTTCCCCCAGCCTGTCATTGGGGTTCTTAGTGTCAGTCCAAAATACTTTTAGTACCTGGAATAGTCGGGATGTTGCATATCATGTCACTTTTGGGTCTATGTATCGCTACAATCCTATTTGTCAAGTACCCTCAGGATCCTTCCATGCAACTTCAATACAGCAGATGAAAAAATTAGAGCGTATGCTCTAATTTTACCAGCACTACACATGCTGTAAGCACTTCTAAAAGATTTCAGATTGAGGTTTCAGATTTATTGGCTGATGATGGAGGGCTTGGAGCTTATGTTAATCCTTTTCTAGTAAATTTCCGTGGTTGTCC